GCCTGGTGGTTTATTTCAGAGGATTGAGCTTCCCGAGTGGAAGTGGGAGAGGATCACAATGGACTTCGTTACCGGACTTCCGTTGACTCGGAAGAAGTTCGATGCAGTTTGGGTCATTGTGGATAGGCTGACCAAGTCAGCGTATTTTATTCCTGTGGCAGACTCCTATTCATCCGAGAGATTAGCTGAGATTTATATTCGGGAGATTGTTCGCCTTCATGGTGTGTCGGCATCTATCATTTCGGACCGGGGTACGTAGTTTACCTCGCGCTTCTGGAGAGCAGTTCAGCGAGAGTTGGGCATACGGGTTGAGTTGAGCACATCATTTCATCCCCAGACGGACGGTCAGTCCGAGCGGACTATTCAGATTTTGGAGGATATGCTTCGAGCTTGTGTTATTGACTTTGAAGGATCGTGGGATCAGTTCTTGCCTTTAGCGGAGTTTGCCTACAACAACAGCTACCAATCGAGCATCCAGATGGCTCCTTATGAGGCTCTTTATGGAAGGCGGTGTCGGTCTCCGGTTGGATGGTTTGAGCCGGGAGAGGCTCGGTTGATAGGTACGGATTTGGTTGAGGAGGCCTTGGACAAGGTCAGGATCATTCAGGATAGTCTTCGTTCAGCTCAGTCCAGGCAAAAGAGCTATGCAGATCGTAAGATTCGAGATGTGGCATTCATGGTTGGTAAGCGGGTATTGCTCCGAGTGTCGCCTACGAAGGGCGTGATGAGATTTGGGAAGAAGGGCAAGCTTAGCCCAAGGTTCATTGGTCCGTTTGAGATTCTTGATTGAGTGGGAGAGGTGGCTTATAGACTTGCATTGCCGCCTAGCTTATCAGCCGTACATCCAGTTTTTCATGTATCCATGCTTCGGAGGTATCACGGCGATCCAGCCCACGTGTTAGACTTCAGTACTGTCCAGTTGGACAAGGACTTGTCTTATGAGGAGGAGCCGGTAGTTATTCTGGACCGGCAGGTTCATCAGTTGATATCCAAGAGTTTTCCTTCTGTTCGTGTTTAGTGGAGAGGTCAGCCTCCTGAGGCATCGACCTGGGAGTCCGAGTCTGACATGCGAAGTCGTTATCCTCATCTTTTCCCCGACTCAGGTACTTCTTTCTTTTGTACGTTCGAGGACGAACGGTTATTTTAGAGGTGGAGAATGTAACGATCCAAAGGGTCATCACCTGTTTTCTTATTCATTCCGTGCTTCCGAGGCCTTGAAAACCTCATTTGGGGTTACCTCAATTTGCGTGCGCAGTCCGGGCGCGTAGCCAGAAAGCTTAAATATGAATTCTGTGAGAAAAATGCTAAACTTTGATATTAAATTGAATAAATTTGTCTTCGGTGAACATTTTGGGTAAACGGACCCGGACCCGTGATTTGACGGTCCCGGAGGGTCCGTAGGAAAATATGGGACTTGGGCGTATGCCCGGAATCGAATTCCAAGGTCCCAAGACCGAGAAATGAATTTTTGTGTGAAATTGTGTTCTGGAAATGATTAAGGAAAATAAAAATGAAATTTGATTAAAAGACTGTGGTATCGGGCACGTATTTTGGTTCCGGCGCCGGGTACAAGTCTTATATGTGGTTTAAGCGCTTTCTGTAAAGTTTGGTTGAAATCGGACGTCGTTTGACGAGTTTCGGACTTAAAATGGGAAATTGATGTTTTATGAAAATTTGGAAGAAATCATGAGTTTTGAGGCTTGATTCGATGTATATGATGTTATTTTGGCGATTTGACCGCGCGAGTAAGTCCGTAGGGTGTTTTTGAGGTTGTGTGTACATTTGGTTTGGAGCCCCGAGGGCTCGGGTGAGTTTTGGATAGGCCACGGAGTGCATTTTTGAACTTGGAAAATTGCTGGTATGATCTAACCTGCAGGCTTCGCATTTGCGAAGTCTGGCTCGCAAATGCGAGCTCGCAAATGTGAAGAACCCTCCGCAAATGCGAAGGTCCTCACATTGCACAGGGATCGCAAATGCGATCATAGCATCGCAAATGCGAAAGCTGGGACTTTCGCAAGTGCGACACTTTTGTTCGCAAATGCCAAGTCCCCAAATAGGCCAATGGTTCGCAAATGCGGACTTTTGTTCGCAATAACCAAAGTAGCAGGTCGGGGTTCGCAATTGCGAACCCCAGTTCGCATTTCCCACATCTGCAACCTGCATTTTTCATACTTAGACGAATTTCAAGTCATTTTTCACCCCACTTTCAAAATACAACTCCTTAGGCGATCTTTCAAGAACAAGTTTTATTCCAAATCATTTGTAAGTCGATTTCTACTTAACTCTTTCAATCATCAACATCATTTAACATGTTTTCAACTTAAAATCAAATATTTTCATGGGAGAAATTGGGGGTTTTGGGTAGAACCTAGATTTTCTAAAAATGGGGATTTGGACCTCAATTTGAGGTCCGATTTCAAAACAAATTACATATTTGAGTTCGTGGGGGAATGGGCAACCGGGTTTTGGTTCGAACCTCGGGTTTTGACCACGTGGTCCCGGGGGCGATTTTGGAATTTTTGGGAAAAACTTTGGGAAATTCATTTTTATGCATTCAAATTGATTCATTTAGTGTTTATTAATGTAATTAAGTAATTTGTGGCTAGATTCGAGCGGATTGGAGGTGGAATTTCGGGGTAAAGCCATAGTTGAGGCTTGAGTTGAGTTCAAGGCATCGAGGTAAGTGTTTGGTTTAACCCTAGCTTGAGGGAATATGAGTTGAGTCTTATTGCTACTTGCTAATTGTCGAGTACGATGTATAGGCATGGTGACGAGTATCTATACATTGGCGTCTAGCATGACCGTGAGTCCTTATTTTGCAAATAGTTTGGTTGTTGTTATGCCTTCCATGCTTAATTAATGACTTCTATATGTTGTAAAGATCTTGTGAAAGAAATTGAAATCTTTAAACTTCGTGGAGCGTTGGCTCGAGTTGAGTTACAAATTGTGAAGGTATATGAGATAAGTAAATCTTTGGAGCATTGGCTCGAGTGATAATGTGAACTATGTGATAAAAGTGAAAGAAAGAGAAAGAGTTATTGATCTATTCCCTTGCCGGGACGTTGTTGATTATTGAATATTTTCCCTTGCCGGGACGTTGAGATTATTGATGTTGTACCCTTGCCGGGATTTAATTGTTTTATTGTGTTCCCTTACCGGGATTCCTATTATTATTTGTTTATTCCCTTGCCCTTGTTTGTGATTGTTGTTTGGGTGAGGAAGAGAGTAAAGCACGAAGGGTGATGCCGTGCATTGTTTGTTTATTGTGAGGAAAGAGTGTAAAGCACGAAAGGTGATGTCGTGCATTATTTGCTATTGTGAGGAAAGAGTGTAAAGCACGAAGGGTGATGCCGTGCCGCACGATGTACCATTCCGTGCCAATTCTATTGATTATATGTGAGGAAAGAGAGTAAAAGCACGAAGGGTGATGCCGTGCACATTTTGTTATTCTAATTGCTTGGTGAGGATGAGAGTAAAAGCACGAAGGATGATGCCGTGCATTTGTCTTTGATTTTCGTGATTTCTTTGTAGATAATTGAGTTATGTTGTCCTTTACTTCTATTTACTGATTTTCTTGTTATTATCAGCTCAAGTGCATTACTTGTCTTATTCCATTATTTCTGTGATTCTTTACGTTGACATTTCCCTTTCTCGTGTTACTTGTTATTATTGAACCAAGATGTCCTTGCGCAATGTTATGTCTTGAATTTATGCCTTAATTGCTACATGATTATGTGACCTAATTGCTACGTGACATTCAACATATAAATTACTAAATTGCCTAATTGCCCCCTTATAATCCATAATTAATTGCTATTTGTCATTATTTGTTTTCCTTAGTAAATCATAAATTTCGTGTACTTGTTGTCTTATGAACTCGTATTAATTGTTGCGTTTGTTAGAGTAAATTTTCTTTTAGAGGAACTGTTGATTTATTGAAATGGGAGCGGGTGGTACGCCTACCACGAGTGATATTGAAATGGGAGCGGGTGGTACGCCTACCACGAGATATTGAGAAATGGGATCGGGTTGCACGCCTGCAACAAGATGAGTTGAATATGAAAGTTGCCTTATCTCTTCATTCACTGCTAGAAGTTAAATTTGTTGATGTACGCTTTATTATTCCTGAAATTCTATTTCTAACTGTTGCCCCTGAAGCATGCTCCCTTCCCCATCTTAAAATGTTATTTTCTTGTTACGTCTCCGTTGTACTTGTATATATATCTGCTCAGGTTTATTTGGTGGTCTGGTCCTAGCCTCGTCACTACTTCGCCGAGGTTAGGCTAGGCACTTACTAGCACATAGGGTCAGTTGTGCTGATACTACACTCTGTGCTATTTTGCACAGATCCAGGCTTCGGGCAGCGACAACAGTAGTGTGGGAGTAGGCTTTCAGCCCAGCGAGACCCGAGGTAGCCTCGCAGGCGTTCATAAGCACTGGCGTCTCCTTTCGTCTATATTCCTGTTTCTTTCATGTATTCCTGGAGACAGTGTCGAGTTATTTCTTTCAGACCTTTATGTGTAGTATTCCTTAGACCGTCTGTGAAACTGTGACACCGGTCTTGGGTAGAGGCTTTTGTTGAGATTTTTCCGCATATTTATTCAGTTTTCTATAATATTGAGACTTCCGCTTATAAATTAATTTCATTGCTTTGTATTATTGCCGATAATGGTTAAAAGGAATTATGTTATTGATGAAAACAGTAATTAAATTTGGCTTGCCTAGCTCTCATTAGTAGGCGCCATCACGACTCCCGAGGGTGGGAAATCCGGGTCGTGACACAAGCCATGGAGGAGGAGATTGAATCAATAGAGAAGAACAAAACTTGGGAGTTAACAACTCTTCCCAAGGGTCATCGAGCAATTGGAGTGAAATGGGTATACAAAATAAAGAAGAATGTTGTTGGAGATGTGGAGAAATACAAGGCACGACTTGTGGCTAAAGGCTATAAGCAAAGGCAAGGCATTGACTATGAAGAAGTCTATGCACCTATTGCCCGCATGGAGACGATTCGTTTGCTGATCTATTTGGCGGCGCAAATGAAGTGGAAGATCCATCAACTAGATGTCAAGTCAGCCTTCTTAAATGGCTATCTTGAAGAAGAAGTCTATGTTAAACAACCATTGGGCTTCGTGGTCAAAAACCATGAAGATAAAATGTTGCGGTTGAAGAAAGCTTTATATGGATTAAAGCAAGCCCCACGAGCATGGAATAGTTGCATCGACAAATATTTTCAAGACAATAGGTGTGCTCGTTGTCTCCATGAATATGCTCTTTACCTTAAAGTTCATACTAATGGAGATATCTTACTTGTTTGTCTTTATGTTGATGATCTTATTTTCACGGGCAATAACTCAAGTTTGTTTGAAGCTTTTAAGAAAGATATGTCCTGTGAGTTTGAGATGACAGATATAGGGCTCATGTCATACTACCTGGGCCTAGAAGTGAAGCAGATGGAGGATGGAATTTTTATCTCTCAAGAGAGCTATACAAAAGAGATATTGAAGAAGTTCAACATGCTCGAATGCAACCCCGTGAACAAACCGATGGAGAGTGGGACAAAATTGTCCAAGTTTGATGAAGGAGAAAAGGTGGACCCCACATTTTTCAAAAGTCTTGTGGGAAGTTTGAGGTACTTGAGTTGTACCAGGCCAGATATACTCTTTGCAGTTGGAGTAGTAAGCCGCTTCATGGAAGCTCCTACCTCCACTCATTTGAAAGTCACTAGAAGAATTCTTCGTTACCTAAAAGGTACTATTAACTTTGGGTTATTTTATTCTTCTTCTAGTGATTTCAACCTTATGGGATTTTGTGATAGTGAATATGCGGGAGATATTGATGATAGAAAAAGTACAACTGGTTTTGTGTTTTTCTTGGGTGATTATGTTATTTCTTGGAGTTCAAAGAAACAGTCCATAGTTACTCTCTCGGCTTGTGAAGCTGAATATGTAGCAGCAACATCTTGTACGTGTCATGCTATATGGCTGAGATGATTATTGAAGGAGCTCAATTTGCCACAAATTGAAGCTACAGAGATTTGTATTGACAACAAATCCGCACAAGCACTCGCGAAGAATCCAGTGTATCATGATCGAAGCAAGCATATAGATACAAGGTATCACTTTATCAGAGAATGCATTGCCAAGAAGGAAGTCAAGCTCAAATATGTGAAGTCTCGTGATCAAGTTGCAAATATCTTTACAAAGCCTCTCAAGTTTGAAGACTTTCAGAGATTGAGATCAATACTTGGAATGAAGAAGAAAAATCAAAATTAAGGGAGAGATTTGTAGAACCCATTTAAATAAATAAAAAAAAATAAAGAAAAAGAGAAAGCTGGCAACAAGCTGCAACCAAAAAAGCAAAACAAAAGTGGCAACAAGTTGATATGGACGGCAATTTGCAAATCTGCAAATTGCAACGAATCCATTTGATTGGTTAATTTGGACGGCAACTTTGCCTATAAAAGGAAGTGTTTCGTTTCAGTTTAAAACACACCAAAAATTAGAGAGAGCGCAATAGAGCGTACAGAGAGTAATTCACAGATTGTAGTCTGTGATATAAATAGTGAGTGGGAGTAATATTGTAGTGAGGTGTTTAAAATAAAGAGTGTTATTTCTTTCGAAGTTGTAGTAGTCTCTTGACACTACTAAGTTGTAATATTATAGTGGTAATATTGCTCCGCTGGGGTATTGTATTTTATCCCGTTAAAATATTTGGTGTCGTTGTTACTCTCTTTTGTTATTGTTATTTATCGTGGATATTATTCCTGGGCGGGATATTTATTTTTTATCCCAACAGGGCCGCCCCTATATATATATATATATATATATATATATATATATATATATATATATATATATCTACTAAATGTGTTCAAACATATGATGTTGAAATTGTCGTCTACTAGTCCATCTTGACCAAAATGTTATATTAAGACAACACGTTTTTCTCTGTCGCGTGACCATTTGGGGTCAATGTTGAATATCATTGCAGGTCCACTACTTAACTACTAATAAATATTAAAAATAATATGTTAATATATACCTTTGAAAATACACGTACAGTTGTAATTATAGGTGTTTAAGGGGCGGGATGTTCCGGGCTGGACACGGAAAAAAGCAGCCCGCACGGTTATTGTTCCAGGCTGGTTAGTGGGTTGGGTTTACGGGCTATTAGCGGGTTGGGGCTTTTCGAGTTTTTTTGGGCCCGTCTGGGTTCGGGCTTAACGAGTCCGGACCGGGCCGGGCTATTTTTTTTTTAAAGTATATTTTGTTTTACTTATTCAATGTTATTGATACTTAAATTTTTTCAAACTTTTAAGGTTTAGAATTAAACTTTAAACTTTGAAGTTTAAAGTTTTAAATTTGAAATTTGAATTTTAAAATTTTAAAATTGAAATTTGAAAGTAAGTGGCTACACTAAATTATTTAATAATACCAATAGGCAATATATAAGGACCAAACTCCGAACACTTTTATTTTATATTTTTCATTGAATAATAAATAATACTTCAAATTAATTTGCAAGTTCTATTTTGATTTTTTGATTTCTGAACTCGCAAATTAAAAGTCTACAACAATTATAAAAAATAAGAAAGAGTACATCACATGCTTTGCATCATTTTTGTAAGTTCATCCATTTCAACATGAGGTTCTTGATTTCCGGCATTGCTAGAATTGGAACCATAAACCATTATATCTCCAATTTCTTGGTCCTCCGCTTCTTCTACCGCTTCTCGCCCTTGATTTCGCCGTTCTGATCTTCCCAATCTTTCTTAATTCGTATTTACCCATTAAACTGCCAGTACCCGGGTTAAGTTTTTGTTGCCCATCTTCCTCCCCATGCAATAGGGTGGTGCTCTACCATGTGCCTACGAAGTTGACCCGTTCCCCCTCCCTTACCAGTCTCATGTTTATAAACTTCCTAACAAAGTTGACATCTTACATAACTTTTATCTTCTTCTAGTCTTTCAAAAAAATTTCTAACACTTACTTCTTAATCTTTGATTCCTCTTTATAGGGAGGGGAGGCCTACTTGTATTACCACGATTGTCACGACCCAAATCGATGAGACGCGACGGGTGCCCGAGTCCTACCTGTCAAAAACCCCTAAGCATGCGTCTAAGATATAAACCTGAATAACATATGCTAAATTACGAGAATAACATACATGAAGGAAACCTGCCCAAAAGGCATATGTACATATACGTGCAACATACGTAGGGCGAGCCGACAAGGCTGCTATAGACAACTATATACCTCAAAACTGGAAGCCGGCAAGGCCACATACTATCCAAGTAGACATACTATCTACAGACCTCTAATAGAAATACAACTGTACAAAGACGGGACTGAGCCACGTCATACCCATATATATATACAAGCATATCGTACCAAAATCAAAAGCAGTTCCAGATCAAGTGGAGCACGCCAACTCTCGTTAATCAAGGATCCTAAGAAGGAGGATCGTCGGCTTGCCTACCTGCACGTGCGGGCATGAAACGCAGGCCCCGGTAAATAGGGCGTCAGTACGAATAATGTACTGAGTATGTAACGAATGAAAATCAGTACATAAAAGACATAGATGAAACATGGAATAAAGAAATCCACCTGAAAGTCTGAATAACTTTGTAAATTATGAAACATTTATAGTGTCATGCACGTGCATATAAATGTCGTGCCATGAATAGATATAGGTGTACATAACATCATCAAGCCTCTGAGGGCATCCCATCATAACGTCTCGGCCACTGTGGGCAACACCATCAACATATACCAATTGATCAGGTGGTGGTGCGTATATAACGCCGTAACCTTTTCCCATATCTCATATACATATAAGTACATATATATACGCGTATATAACGCCATCTGGTCATGGGTCAATGTACATGTATAAATGCATGAAATGCATAAGAAATACGTGAATAAGATTTCTCGGAATATCATAAAAATAATATGCCTGTCGGATAAACTTTATCAAATACGTATTTTTAGAGACCCATGAAGAGAAGAAATAATAATAGTTCACATGGAGAATCAAGAATATAGACACTCCTAGTATTTCTATGAATAGAGTCATTTATGGAAGTTGTACATTTGCTCGTTTCATTCGTGTCGCATGGATCATGCCAAAAAGAAAGAAGGGATAGCCTTAACATACCTGGAGTAGGGATAAATCCGTAAGATATTCTTGGAAAAGGTTGCACCGTACTTCTTTAGAACCGCAAAATTTTACGTTGCTAAGGTGCTAATAATTCCCGTTGTAATTGTTTGGTTGCAAGAAATTTTTGTTGAAAACTTCGTCGGAATTTCTAAGAGATTTTGTTGCTAAGGTTCCAAACCTCCCATCTGATCGTAGTATTGAAATGGTTTAGAAATAAAGTAGTGTTGTTAGAGATGAAAAGGTTATAATGAAATGTCTTGTATCCTAGAATGTATTGTTGCTAACGTTTTCAAGATATGAAGTGTTGTGTCTTTTAGTTATTCATTTTGTTGCCACCTAATCCAAAAATGACTAAGAGTCATTGGTTGGAAAGTGGCTTGCTGCACGTTTTTTTTTTGGGGGGGTGGGGGGGGGGTGGTTTGATCTTATTTTATAATTTATTAATTAATTAGAAAATATTTCGTTACCCGATAATTAATCAATTACCCACATAATTAAGAATTGTCTTAAATTTCTTAAAATACTACTCATTTGTAATATACTTTATACATCATACTATCACGGTCATATAGTACCCTGTATGGTACTAGTCCATAAATATCGGGTATTACAGCTCGGACCGTATTTTACCCCAAATCGGCAACCTTCGACGGAACTTTTTTTTTTAATTCGTGTACCCTTTACCCATCATGGCACTTACTTATCGCTTGTTATAATTAGCATAAATACGTTAACCTTAAGATAACCTCATCCCCGCGTCTACGTCGATTAACTGAAGACGACACTTTAACGTACGAAACACGAGATGTAACAACCTTCCCCCCTTAGAAACATTCTCCCTCGAATGTTCAACTCCCCGGGATCTATATAAATTTGGCAGAGTCGCCTTTGTAACAACACTACTATAAACTCTTCCTATAGAAACTCAATAATTCAACGCTACATAGGACCACAGTCATCAATAACGACAATGGCCTCACACGACCAATGATAATAACTAACACCAGAATCCTTACACGTACCTTAAAGTCGTGATGTCTCAGTCGGACCCTTCTCTGGAGGAGGAAATAAGTAAGGATATCTAGACTTCATGTCTTCTTCGGCCTCCCAAGTCATTTCTTCCACATTGTTGTTTCTCCAAAGTACTTTCACCGAAGCTACGTCTTTAGTTCTCAATCTTCGAATCTGTCTGTCTAATATAGCAATGGGAGTTTCTTCATATGATATCTGCTCTGTGACCTGAACATCGTCAACTAACACAATTCCGGAAGGATCTCTGATACATTTACGGAGCATAGACACATGAAAGATTGGATGTACAGACTAAGTCTAACTCATATGCTACCTGGCCTACCTTGCGTATGATCTTATATGGTCCAATATACCGAGGGCTAAGTTTTCCTTTCTTTCTGAACCTCATAACACCTTTCATCGGTGATACCTTTACGAATACCCAATCGTCAACCTGAAACTCCAAGTCTCGCCGTCGATTATCCGCATAAAACTTTTGATGGCTTTGAGCTGCTAATAGCCTTTCCAATATAAGCTTAATTTTCTCGATTGCCTGTTGTATCAATTCTGGTTCTACTAATGTAGTTTCCCCAACATCGAACCACCCTATAGGCGACCTACACTTCCGTCCGTAAAGAGCATCGTATGGAGCCATCTGAATACTAGAATGATAGCTATTATTATGTGCGAACTCAATAAGCGGCAGATGATCATCCCACCTACCTTTGAAGTCTATCACACAAGCTCGTAACATATCCTCAAGTGTCTGAATAGTATGCTCGGCCTGTCCTTCTGTCTGGAGATGAAATGTTGTACAAAGACTTACCTGAGTCCCCAATCCTTTTTGGAAGGACCCCCAAAAGTAATTATTATATTGAGCTCCTCTATCCGAGATAATAGATATAGGGACACCATGCAGTCGTACTATCTCCTTAATATAAAGCTTGGCATAATCCTCTGTGGAATATGTAGTCCTTACGGGCAGAAAATGGGCTAACTTTGTAAGCCTATCAACAATCACCCATATCGAATCGAACTTACACTGGGTACGAGGTAAGCCTACGATGAAATCCATATTGATTACTTCCCATTTCCAAGT